ATAAATGTAATCAGCTGAAACAAATTGAATCCTCTTTGGTTTAGGGGAGAATAATCACCAACCAGTCAAAATCCATCACTATATGAACGTTTGTGGGGATGTGTGTGTAAATGTGTTTATACACATGTGTCTATATGTGTATATATGTGTTTATACACATGTGTCTATATGTGTATATGTGTGTATATGTGTGTGTATATGTGTGCATATGTGTGTATATACGTGTGCATATATGTATATACACATATTCACGTGTAATCATGTTACTTATGCTGACACACAATTACATGCAACACATGTTAATGTATTCACCAGCTAAATTACACGTGAGCTCTTTAAGTGCTGGATTTCAGGATGAAGCGTGCACTTGTATGAGTGGTCCTGTACATGAATACATGCTCATGTGCATATGCTAAGTTTCTGTCTAAGTACCACACACAAGAAGTGGGGGTGTTCTGTAGGACTGGGGGGGGGGGGGGTGTTGTGTGTGTGTGTGTGCAAACACTTTTGCATTGATGGCAATAGATACAAAGCCCTTGCACCAGCCCCGATTGCAGAGAAGGAGGAACTCTGCCTGGTGCAGAGCGTGCTTTGCTTTGCGATGAGTGGGAACTGAAGGGCAAAGAACAGATTTGTTGGTGCCTGTGCCTCGCTGAGTACCACTGAATCCTGCAGGAGAACAGCACGAGGGGCTGGTGTGGTCGGGATTGCTGGAGCTGCATCTGAGCAGTCCTTCCTCCGGCTGCAAACTTGCAGCTCCGGCACCAGTGCTGGTATTTGGCACACAGAGGGAGGCTCTCCGGGTGCTCTCCGATGAGGTAATCCCAAGGAAAGATAAGGGAAGTGCTGCATGTATTAACCTGAGCGGTGATGTCAGCGAGGGGAGAGGAAATGAATGACTTGGAGATAGGAATTGCCTTGGTTTGGGTGTCATTTGGTTGCTGCCGTTATCTCGGATGTGCCGGGGTGGTGAAACCAAAGGGACCTGAGGGCTGGCGGGGTCTGGGGACACCAAACAGTTCCTGTGGGCTTGTGCAGAGATTTGGGTGCTCTGCGTGTGTGCCCATGAGCCTGGGTGCACCCCTGGGTCTGCGCTGTGGTAGCCTGTGGTTATTAGAGAATAAGGGACCCAAGGGATGTCCCCTCCTGCTTTGTGTCTGTGCATCCCCAGGGAGCGGTGGGATGCAGCAGCAGGGTCGGGTGGGACCAGGGCTGGGACGGCTCCAGGCAGAGAGAACAGGCTCAGGTATGGGCTTGGGGCCACCTTCACACTGTGCTTATGGGTCTCCCCATGGGGTTTGTTTTCTCTCCTCCCTTGGGAAGGAGCAATGGGACCCAGGTGCCCTGCCCAGCATGGGGAGCGATGGAGGGAAGGTCTCCAAAGTGCAACAGAGACACTCTCCACCAGAATCTCGCCTCATGCTAATGGGTATCACATTGTGTCCCTGATGACTTGTCAGCAGCATGTGAGAAATCACTGGCAGCAGCGAACAGCAGGGCCAGCAGGAGACGGAACACAAATACCTCACATCACAAATGCCTCCCCTGACACAGAGGATGCACCCACGATGCTCCCCAAACCTCCCCACTCAGCCCATACAAACCTGTTGGTCCCCTCTCCAGGGTTAACCTGTGCTGTGTCTTATCCCAGCCCCACATCTCCTCCGCTCGGTGCTGCTGTCCCTGCACGCTGCCTGTTGCACTGAGCTGCTGATGACAGCAGAGGACAAGGAGCACCCATGAGCTGGGTGAGCCTGAGCTGGGCTTGCAGGAGATGGTCCCTCCGGGGCTGCCAGCTCAACACAACCACACAGAGACCCTGCAGAGCCCGAGGCAAGAGCCAGCTTCACCTCTTGGTGCCTTGACTTGGTTCACCCACCCCTGGGAGGGTTTGGTGGAAGCTCACATGGGGCTTCACCGCAGCACAGCCTGGATGGAGCTCCTGCCAGGAGCGCTCTATTGCATGCGCAGGTTGGTGAGGGCAGGGGCAGCGGTGTTTGTAAAGGAGGCTGCAGTTTCTCTTGTTTGCGCCAGTGCAAATCCAGTGAGGAAAAGGAGACTCCGTGGATATGGGTGCTTAAACCCCCTTCAAACCCGCTGTGAAGCTCTGGTGTGAATTCCAGTCTCTGCTCCTGTCCCAGGAGGGAGCTGGGGCTGGGGCTTTAGAGGTGCTGTTTGAGCTTGTGCCTGGGATGGTGAAGGCATGTGCAAAGGGGGTTTGGGGTCTGGTTCAGTGGATTCTGCCCTGATTTGCGATGGTGGGAGATGGGTTGAGCTCTTTCCTTCCCAAGGCTGTGCCCAGAGTGATGTCCCTCCAGGCACTGGAGTCACCGGAGGCAGGTTTCAGGGAAGTGTCTCCCCAGGGGAGCTGAAGGTGCAGGGGTGATGCTCATCCTGCCCCCTCCAGCTTTCCTGCAGCCCCTTCAGGCACTGGAGCTGCTCTCAGGTCTCCCCTTCAGGAGCCTTCTCTTCTCCAGGCTGCCCCAGCCCAGCTCTCTCAGCCTGGCTCCAGAGCAGAGCTGCTCCAACCCTCGCAGCAGCTCCGTGCCCTCCTCTTGACTCGCTCCAACAGCTCCAGGTCCCTCCGGTGCTGCTGCCCCAGAGCTGGGTGCAGGGCTCCTCCTCTTCCCTCTCGGACAAATCAGGTTTATGCTGTGTCCTGAAGGAGCGTGCGGTGGCACCTGCGGAACCGGGGCTATTTTGGCCTTTTCCTTTGCTGTGGCTGCCAGAACACCCCATGGAGGGAGCCTGGGGTCTGTCTGGTCTCCGCTCCATGCGCTGCAGCAGCGCCGGCGGCAGCGGCTGTGCGCAGGCTGTGACTGCTGCTGCAAGCAGGGCTTGTTGGGCACATCTCCGGCTTGTCTTGGACAGGGTGCTGCAGGCAGTGTGGTCTCATCCTCAGGCGCGGCAGGGATGCAGAACCGTGTGGCTTTCCCAGGCTCAGCACTAAGGATGCGCTGTGTGATCCCGGATGTTGTTCAGCTCACCTGCCCTCCCTCGTATTGCCTGTAAGGGGGTTTATAGAGCATCCTGCAAAGCTTTGGGTTATATCCGTCCGTTACAATGACGAGATATACGGTGATGAGAAAGCTAGTTAAAATCCATAAAGAACCCCAGTATCACCCTATCCATGGGACATACAAGAGACAGACAACGTGCACCTTCAGCTGTACAGAGCACTGCAACCAGAGCTGCTTTGGAGCCTCCTCTTCCCCATGTAAATGTTTCTATAAAGCCAAAAAGTCCACCCGTAATGGCTTGGAGGACAAGGTAATGCCTGCTGAAGGCTGGGAAACGACATTGTTACAATGACAAATACTCTCCAAATACCCAATTCATGATCCTGGGCGCCTTATAAATGTGATTAGTAGATCTAATCTTGCTGTGCTGGAGCCAGTTGTCAAGACAGCTTGAAAATGGATCATTGCCCAACTGACTTCAACTGCTCCCCAAGTTCTAACAGAATGTTTGAGAGCGAAGCGAGAGTTGGGTCCTGCACTCCCTGCCCTGGGGCATGAGCTGGAGAGGGAATGGGGAGAGGGGACTGCAGGTGATCCCCTAAAAGAAAGGCTGATAGGGATGCAACTGCTATGGATTTCTGTGGAAAACAATATCCTTTAGGTGTGCCCAGCTCGGTCGGTCTCTGTTCTTGAGTATCCGTCCATCTGTCCGTCCATCTGTCCACCCACCCTTCCCACTCATAAGGTACGTGTTATTTCTCTCCACCTTGCAGCGGGGATGGAGGCAGCCCTGGAGAGGCTTTTCCCACTCCTGAGACATGGGCAGGGAGCTGGGGAAGGGAGGGATGAGCCCTGGGAAAGGTGAAGCAGTGCTCAGAGCCATTGGCTTCCTTTGGTGCTGTGATTTTGGGTGCTCTCACTTTGGGTACCATCATGCAGGTACCCCCAGAGGCGATGCCCTCTCCTGCCTCTCCGGTCCTGCTGGGAGCTGCTGGGAGCAGGGTTCCTGCAAGCCAGAGAATGAGATTTCAAAAGGCACTCAAGTGCTTTTGGGTACCTGGGGTGGTTGCACCGGGCTGTCCGAGCATCCCGGTGCCCCCAGGACTGGTAAGACCAAGGTCTGCTATTGGTGCCTTTACTTGGGATTCTCCTGGGGATCCCGGTGGGAGCGTGGTCTCAGTGCTGTGATTTTGGGCAGCCTGGCAGGAATAAAGGCTTGGGGGGGGGGGCATTGTGAAACAGTCCCCAGGCTCCCACCCCCCTTCCCCACCAAAGAGCCCCCCACCTTCCCCAAGGCGGGACAGAGCGCACGGGGGAGGCTTTGAGCGTTGATCCAAGACAGAGCGGATTTGGGCTCCCTGTCAAATGTTCTCATTGTCTGACCCTTGTCCAGATGCCAGCAAAACCCTTTGGGAATTTCCCCCTCCACCCAGCGCACCGGCTTTAATTACAGAAGAGGAATGCGAGTGCAGAGCCCTGCTCCTCCCGCCTCTACGCTCCGGTGCCCGCACATAGACCCCGAGGTCTGGGATGGAGAAGGGATGAAGAGGGGCCATAGGGAAGGACAGCAGCAGAGATGGGCACTGGGTGCCCCTGCCTGGTGTGGGCAGGATGCTTCCCAAACCAAGGGTGACAAGAGGGGGCTTGTTCCCCCCTGTCCCATGCTGGCAGCAGTACCCGAGCAGCAGGACATGAGTAATATCCATCCCACTGGGGGAGTTAGATCAAAGGCAGTGAAGTAGATACAAGAGGTTTCTGCTTCACAGACCAGAGGCTGCAGTTCAATAGTGCCTTTGTTACCAGCTCTCCGGAGCTGGGGATGGAGAAATACCTGACCCCCCGCTCCCTCCCTCCCTCCAGCCCCTCGGTGCAAAACCATTTCAAGTATGCAACACACAGCGAGGCTCCGCAGAGCCATGGGGATGGCAGCAGGAGCCTGGGATCCACAAACGGGACCCCCCGTAGCCACGCGGGGCTTGGAGGTGATGGGATGAGGGGCACCTGCATCACTGCACATCCCTGCGCATCCCCGAGCATCCCTGCACATCCCTGAGCATCCCTGCACATCCCTGTGTGCTGGGGTTTGCTGGCAGGGCCAGGAGAGGATGGTGCAGGTGATGCCATCCCAAGTCCAGTGCCGGGTATCCTGGTGTCTTCCCATGGAGAGGATGCTACGCTGCCAAAGGTGAGCTCAGCCATGCTCTGGGCTGTCCTCGGGTCCCTGTGGTGCGGGGCTGGGGTTTTGGGATGGGGACGTGTCCCTGTGCTCTGATGCGGGCACTGGAGCTGTCCTGTGATGGGTGCAATCTCCTTGGGAAGGTCTTGGGTGCCAAAGCAGAGCCACAAAGCAGAGAGGGCCATACCCAAAGAGTTACTAAGTTCAGATCTACCCCTCGATGTGCAATGAAAGTGTCCTTAGTGTACCCCTGGGGACCAAGGGGTTGGGTTGGTGCCGGAGCTGGGGGGCAGACCCATAGGTGGGGGTCCTGCGTGCACACAGCACCCCAGGATATTTGCTGGAGGCGCTCCCCAGAGTACCCAAGGATGCAACACCAAGGCCAGATGATGCTCGTGCCACGGGGCTGCACGTGGGTGCATCCTCCTGCGGCTGCTGCAGGGTGCAGGGGCCGGGCCGGGAGCGTGGTTGCGTCAGAAAGTGGCTTTTTTCCCTTTCCCATTCACGTATGGGAGTTAAAAGAGGTAAAACCTTGGGAAACACCAGTTCAGAGCTACCCGTGTGCTTCGGAAGCTCGGTTTGTCGGTCGAAGTCATGTTCACTGCTATTCTGAACGGCAGCGGGCAAATTCCTTCCTCCCTCCAAAGCCGGCTGCTGCATAGCTTCAGAAACGTTGAATTTCCCAAGGATTCGTGCTAGGGCAACAAGAAAGGGAGTTTCCTACCCTCAGTGGCGGAGCTGACCTCATCAGCTCCTGGCAATCAGCAGTCACTGCTGCGGAATGAGTGAGTCCTGGCAGGGAAAAGGATGGAGGCAGAGGCTGGTGCTTTCCCAGGGACAGCCTGGGCAGTTCTGGTGCCCCCGGGCACAGGGAGGTGGAGAGGCTGCTGCTAAGGGTAAGGGCTGTGTCCGGCTCCTGGGGGAGCTGCTGGAGGTGTTTTCCCCATGGACATCGCCTTGTCCTGGGATGCATCTTCCGGGGGTACGGAGATGGGAGCGCCCCATGGAACACATCACCTTGCGTGCGTCTGTGCTGCTCCATTGGCAGCCAGGGTGACTGCGTTGTAGCTCAGGGGTTTACTGGGATACTTAAAAGCAGCACAAAAGGTGTGATGGGGAATGCACGGACAGACGAGGTGTAGCTGTGGCCAGGACACTGCAGAGGGAGGCTAAACCATTTCCCTGCCTGCTCCTTGGCCATGCTGCCAGTGATCCAGGCTATGGCACGTTGTCTTTTAAGCAGGGAGGGAGGACCACATAGACGGAAGGGCTGCTTTCCCTCCCACCTCCTTTACCCCTTTCTTCCTTTTCTTTCCCCAAAGACTGCTGGCTTATCCTGGGTAAGCCCTCTGCTGTGGTCTATGGCTTTTTATTCCTATGTGATTGCTTTGCCTAACTCATGTAGGGCAAAAAGCCATGGGCTACACAGAGGAGGGACTGCACCTTCCAGGCACCTCCGCACCCGCCCGGACTCCTGATCCCTTTTTAATCACTCATATTTATTTGGTAACAAGAGAAAGGGGGCATTGAAGCCTTGCAGAGCACAGGGACAGACAAAGGGGGACGGGGATGGGGGGGGCTCGGCCTTTCAGGCGCCGTCGTCCCCATTCAGAGCTGCTTTTCTTTGGCAGTGAGAGCTTTTCTCACACGGTTCAAAGCGTCCCCACCTGCAGCCCCATGGAACAAAAGCATCAGGCAGAGACCAAGGGCATGGCCAAGGGCACTGAAACGCCTGCAGGTGACAGCAGGAGCCCTTCCTGCTGTCGGTGGGTGTCCTGGGGGCTGAGAACAGCCCAGCACCTCCAGCCCCATCTCCCCACCGATCGTGACCCTTCCAGGGGTGCTGCAGACCGGGCAGGATCCATCCCTGCGGTGACCATGAGGCCACAGCCAGCCCATGGACCACGGATATGTGGCCGGGAGCATTGGGAAGGACAGGTTTAATCAGAGAGCAGGACGAGTAGTGCACTTGTTAAACACAGATCAATGTCTGTGAGCACAGCAGCCTGGAGAGCAGGGTGGATGGGGTGGGAAGAGACCCCATCACCACAGACCCCACCACCACTGACCCCATCACCACTGACCCCATCATTGCTGATCTCATCACTGCTGATCTCATCACTGCAGACCTCATCACTGCAGACCTCATCACTGCAGACCTCATCACCATAGACCCTATCACTGCAGATCCCATCACTGCAGAGCCCATCACCGCTGATCCCATCACTGCAGACCCCATCACCAGACCCCATCACTGCAGACCCCATCACTGCAGATCCCATCACTGCAGACCCCATCACTGCAGATCCCATCACTGCAGATCTCATCACTGCAGACCCCATCACCACAGCCTCTGCTGCCTCTGTCAGCACCTGCGCACTGGTGGGGGTTCCAAACCACCTTTGCCAAGCAGGAAGGAGCGATTTCTCTTTTCTCTTTCCCTGTCCTCTCCCCTCCTGCACCGTGGGTCACCTGGTGTCAGGCTTCCACGCTTATTTCACCAGCCTGGAATGCACCTTTAAAAGGAGCAGTGATTGAAAGAGCTCGGAGCTGAGGCTCAGCTGCAATCCCATGACTCAGGGAGGTGTGGAAGGAAGAGAATCGTGAAATCCCCTGAGTTCCAACAATGAAAGCAGGAGAGCTGGCAAGGCTGGGGCCCAGAAAGCAGCAAAACCAAGCAGCATTCGTCAAAGCGAAAGGATGGAGCCAACCTCCCCGGCCTGGTTTAATTATTTCTTAATGAGGATTTGCTCATTCAGAAAATTCACCCCTGACAATGGCTGCCCAGAGCCATTGACGCTGGTGGACACGCATGGCTTGGTCCTGCTGCTCCCATCCCAGCATGGGGATCCTGGTGTGAGGGTGCCATTAACCCCCAAGTCAGGGAGAACAGGGCAAATCAACCAGAAATACCCAGGTTTGCCATTTTGTGCAACCCAAAACGTTTCACTGGGGAAGCAATGAGCAAACCCCTCTCTGGGGGGTCAGTGGCTGCAATAAAACCCCAGGCCAGCCTCAAGCCCCCTAGCAAGGTTCTGGCAAACACTGGGGGAAGAGCTATTGGGGATCCTGGTGCAGGGGTTCAGAACCCATCTCCGGTGGTGGCTGCCCATGGTGAAGAGAGCACGGAGGGATGCAAACACTCATCAGTATTTTGGTGGCTGTTGGGCAGATACCAACTGATGAGAGCAGTGCTATGGGCAGCCTGTCTGCACTGTGCTGGCCAGATGCTCCACCCGAGACTTGCTCTCACTGCCTTGTACACCATTGATTCTCCTTTTAGCAAGGCAGGCATTAAGCAGGGAAGAGATGGAGCAACCACGACTGGGTTTCCATGGGGTTGTGGCTGGAGCAGCCAGGATGGGATGAACTGAATGGGTCCATGGGATGGGGTGGCTGTGCTCAGGAGCCAGGGGACCCAACCTCTTTCTCACCATTCCTTGCTGAGCTCCAGCTCCCCCCACGAGGGTTTGATTTGTGGTGTTCAGTGTTTGACCCCAGGGCGGGCTGGAAGCCCTTCATGGGACAAGTGTTCTGATGGGAGCCATGCAAAAGGCATTGGCAGGGACCCCTGGAAAAGGTCCATGGCCAAGAGGAGGTGTTGCCAGCACCAGGTGAGCTCTCGGCTTGTCTGGCATCCACCTCCCAGCAGCAGCTCCAGCACCTTTCAATTAGCACAGGCTCTACCTGCGGCTGCGATTACTGGGCAAAGCAGAACCCCTTGGTTGCTGTGCTTGCACAGCATTCGGGGCATTAACTAAAGCAGGAGATGAGGCTGGCGTTCCCAAAGCATCTTCGAGAACTTGGGTACACCACCGATCATTGAAATGCAGTGATTGAAATCCCATCCCGGGTCCAGAGGAGTGAGCTTGAGGAAGAGCCACTGCAAAGGTGGCTCCTGGCCAGCTGCACCCAAAGGCACCCGCAAAGGAAGGTGCTGGAGCAGATGGACCCCTCCAGCAGTCCCTGGGCCTTCCTGAAATCCCAGGAGCGCAGTGGGACAAGCTGCTAATTACAGATAACTGCTGTGCATGAGTGAGGCATCCACCGTATCCCAGATGGGGATGGATCCACCATGCCGGTGGATGAGGCACAGGCTTGTCCTGCGCTGCCTTGCAGGAAGGCAAAGCGCAGCCGCATGCCCCGACACAGAGTCCCCATCCCGTATCCGCGTCCCGGGCATCCCTCGTGGCAACAGGAATGTGAGAACCAGGAGGCTTGTGCACAGCTCCCACATAGTGCTGGGGAGAGCAGGGCTCTCATCCCACTGGGATCACTGCCTGCTGCTAACCCGCGTGGGGATCGGGATGGGATTTGCCTCTGTGCGCTGGAAGAGGAGCAGGAGCAGCGCTGGGTCACCCAGCCCCATGGATGCTGATCCCAGGAGATAAGTGCCAATTATTAATAGTTTAATTACAGCCAGATGATAATGAACTGGAAAGCTGGGGCCTTAATCAAAGCTGTGACAGCACCAAGTCCTAATGGGACACAGTGGGACTCCCAGCACCTCGCTAGCAGCACCGGGTTACCCTATAGAGGGAATGCTGCTCAGTGGGAGCCTGGGGAGATCTGAAATCACAGGATGCCCGGAGGGCACAAGAAACCACAGTGCACCCCACACCCCCAGCAGGCAGAGCCATCCACGTGTGGGGCTGCGCTTTGCATGAGCAGCTTCCCCAGGCTTTGATCCATGACATTATCCCGGGTATTTACCCCCCCTTTGCACCAGAGGGTTCAGTTATTCGAGCGCTGATCCCGCACCGAACTCGGACAACCTCCGGCGGGACAAAAAGGAGACAAATGTGGGATTGGATGGGAATGCTTTATCCAGCTCTGCTCCGGGCAGGGAATGCCGCCTGCGCCGGTTGTGCCATGGAGCACCTTCCCCCTCCCTCCTGCTTGGAAATGGGTTCTTTAGGAAGCGGGGAGGCCACCGGTGCTGAGTCAGCCCAGGGCTAATGAACACCCGGGCTGCCCATTGGAAATTTATTGCACCTATTAATTACAACCATTAACTGCAGCCAGTGAAATCTCTCTAATGAGGACCCTGGCGACTCTGCCTTCCTCGGGCAAATGAATGGGGGGGGGGGAAGAACCAATGGGCTCAGCAGACTTTACAGGAGCCGTGTTTTAATTAGCGCTGCTGCTCTGCAAACACGCCAGGCAGCATCTTCGCCCTTCATTATCTCCCCTTAAAGGGATGCTGCTGCTTTGCAGGTTAGTTTTAGCCCGGCCCCGTCGTTGTTGGGTTTCTAATGCGGCGCTGCTCATTATAGGAAGTGCTTTGAAGGCGGTTTTCTCGTAGGGCTGGTTGTAAGCAGCGAGATGGCCAAGGTTTGTGGGGGGAAAGGGGGGGGGGGATAAAGGAAATAGATTCTGAAAGCTTGGCTGAGCACCAGCGAAACTGGCATTAAACTGAAACACAGCCCCAGGGCTGCACCCACTCTCCTGCAGGACGGCTTTAACCTGCCCGAGGGGAGGCTGAGATGGGCTCTGAGGCAGAAGCTCTTCCCTGTGAGGGTGCTGAGGCGCTGGCACAGGGTGCCCAGAGAAGCTGTGGCTGCCCCATCCCTGGCAGTGTTCAAGGCCGGGCTGGACACAGGGCTTGGAGCAAGCTGCTCCAGTGGAAGGGGTCCCTGCCCGTGGCAGGGGTTGGAGCTGGAGGAGCTTTAAGGTCGCTGCATCCAAAGCCAGGTTGTGATTCGATGCTATATTATGGGAAAAGGTTCCATGAGCTCTGGGCTTCTCCAAGGGTGTCTCCTAAGTGGATCTTAGAGAACCAGGCTGGTGATCCCCAGACCCTCCTGAGCATCCTGGCTGCAGAGGTGGACGATGCTGACTTGCTATCACGAAAGGCAATTGAGATGAATTTCTGGGAATGTTTCTACATTTCACTACGAATTCTTTATCCCATTCGGTTCCCTGTAAACCATGGGAGCAATTTCCATTGCAAATGAGCTCATTTCCCAGGAAAACAAACCCCAGCGTGGCAAAAGGCAGCTTTGAAATGTGGGGTTTAAAATGCAAAACTTCATGTGGGTTTTCTTCCAACCAAGTAGCTAAAAGTGGATTCAATGCCCTTGCTCAGCAATGGAAACACTGGGGCAGGGGAAGAGAAGCAGCCAAGCACCCCTTCCCCACTTACATCCACTGCCTGTATCCCTGCCTGCACCTCTGCCTACATCCTTGCCTGTATCCCTGCCCACATCCCTGCCTGCACCTCCCTGCTGACACTGCCCTGTCTCAGCCTCCTGCCTGCCCAGGGAAATGGGTAATTGCTGGCTTAAGGAATAGACTGTGTCCAGCTGGTTCAGAAAGACATTTCTTAGGGCTGAGGGAGAAGTGCCATTGCTAAAGCGAGCGTGCTGATTCCAGACAGCTCCCAATTCATCACTGTGACAGTGACAAACATGGCCCGGGGTGATGCACTTCACTAAAGGGAATTCTCCAGCTTCATGTCCTTATTGCTCCTCGTGTTTGCACTGGAGTTTCAGCCAATTTGATCTCCCCTGCATAGAAAGGGCAGCACCGGGCTGTGGAGCAGGCCCAGCCCTTGCAAATCAGCGCTGCCCAAGCCAGTTCATTCCTATTGTGAATCAGTCCTTGCCCCTTTTTCTACCTTTTCAAGAAGGGGAGCGCCGGGCTCAGCTCGGCTGCCTCTGCTCTCCAGGGCTCATTCATCATTGTCTGCTGCCTGAATGGGAGGCAGAGGCGCAGCCTGAAAAGCCTCCGTGCTGCAAGCTCCTCTAAATATATCAATAGCTCCTAATGGAAACCGGGGTCCCAGCCCCACCTCCCAGGCTCTCACGGGGGGCTTTGTGCAAGGGGGAGTGGCTAGGATGGCCACAGGGGTATAGGGGGGACTGGTCCCCATGGGGACCTGGGGGGTCTGGTGCAGATGTGTTTGCCTGGTTCATATGAAGGGTGTCAAGTACTGGGTGAGAGCCCTGCATAGGCAAGGAAAGCATTTGCCCAGCCCGGTTTTGGCAGTGCTGGGTCAGACCTGGTTGTGCCAGACCAGGGTGCCAGCTCCCACAGGTTTCAATGCTTCTCCCTTCCCGTCATCCCTTCCCCAGCTGAAGCTGTGCAAAGCCAAGAGGATGCAGGGCTCGCAGGTGAGTGGCTCCCATCCCAATGCGCTGCCCCACACCCAGCCATTCCCTCCAACGTCCCATTCCCAGCCTGGTAACACAAAGCAGCAGCAGCAGCAGCACAAAGGGAGACCTGCGTGTGCTCAGGAGACATTCAGGATGGGAGGCACATGAAAGGGCTTGTGGTCACTGTGGGTGAGCTCCGAAGCAGCCTGGTTCAATGTGGGTGCTATAGACAGGTACACAGATGGCTGGGGATGGGGGGCAGCAGCAGGAGTGGGTTGAATGGGATGCTTTGTGCTGCAGCTGGGCCCTTGGAAAGGGGAAAAGAGGAAAGGCAGGGATGTGGGATCACCCCCTTCATCATGGGGAGAGTGTGGAGCGATGGGGGCCCATAGACCCCACTTGCTTTGGCTTCTTTCCCCCATGTTTAATGTTCTCCTGGTTGGCCCTGCTGTGCTGTGGGCTGCAGGCAGCGGGCTTGGGGCTCCCAGCAGTGCCTGGCTGGTGATGGAGGTCACCCTCTGCTCACCACTGCCAATGTCCATGAGCCTCGGGAGGTGGCAGTGCCTCATACACTGAGGCTGCCACTTGGTCCCCAGGCAGCATCACCCCCATTGCACAGAGGGGTAAACTGAGGCTACGAGATGTTCCCTGTTCACGGGGAGCAGATGCTGAGTCCAGGCATTGCAGGGAGCTGTGAATGCTGTGGTCCCTCTGCACGGCTGGGGGCTGGCACGGTCCTGGTGCTACGGATGTGACTCGCTGGGCATCGAGCACCAAAATCAGAGCCGGTCACCAGCAAACTGTGCAGGAGCTAAGAACGGAGCCGGGAGAGGATGAAGGGTTCATTCAGACACCATTTCTGCACACGTTTGATATTTATTTCTATGTAAACCCAGCCTTTCACTTACATCATCACACTGCAGCTGTGGGGCCAGGACGTGGGCTGTGCTTTGGGGCACCAGCACACACAAAGGGAGTGAACCGCGCTCTCAGCTCTGCCTCTTTGTGCCATAACCGCCGGTGCCAGGGGCTCCCAGGGGCCTCCCCCCCAGCCCTCAAACATGCACCAGGCCCTGCAAGCTGTCCCCACGTCTGTCCCGATTGTTCAGTGCTGAGGAGAGTGGGGTTGACCTCCTTGTCCTTCAGCGGGTGGGGAATTGGGAGTGAGCGGCTGTGGGGCTGGATAATGGGATGTGCACCCATGCAGGGTGATGCTCTGTGATGGGGGGGGGGAGGCTGGTCCACACCCTCCACCTTCCCTGTGCATGGAATCACAGAACCAACCAGGCTGGAACAGACCCTGAAGATCAAGTCGAACATTGCCATCACCCAGGAGCTGCCCTGACTCCTCTCCCTGTCCCCATCCAGGTTTCCCTGGGGTGCTCCCAACCCTCTCCTCCTGCTCCGGGTGATGCCCCAGTTCACCTTCGCTTGCTTCTGCGGGCTCCATGGTTTCTGCAAGATGAAGAGGAAGAAAGAAGAGCCCAGCGCGGAGCAGGAGACCGCAGTGTGAGGAGCAGGCTCCTGCGTGCATCCCCCTGAGCTGTGCCTTGGGACCCATCCCCTTCCCCTTGGTACGCTGCGGGGGGGGGTGTGGGATTTGCTGCCTCCTTTCTTCTCCCCTCTGAGCATCACCCTCTGCCTGCACTGCATGGAGGGGTCACAGGGGCTGGGGGCTCGGGGATGGTGCTGGGCAGGGGAAGGGGAGCCCGGGGCTGAGCAATGGCTCTGCGGGTGTTGATCTGCTCCAACGCATTTATCCTGCGGCTTCTCTCATTTCCCCTCCCTCTTCCTAGATTCTTGTGGGGCCAAAAGCATGGGAATGACCTTGCAAGAGGCAGAAGCGGATGCTGTGGACGTTATCCTTGTGCTGCGCCCTCAGCACCTGAGCAGGCAGTGATGGAGGGACCCTGAGTACCAGCAGGGCAGAGACTCCCTCCTGAGCAACCGAGCCTGCCCTTGCTCCAGCAAGTCCCAACACACAGACATGGAGGGGTTTCCAAAGCCGGGGCCAGACCTTGTCCTTCCTGGGGCCCTGTTGCTGCAGAGCCTGGCCCTGCCTGGTGAGGAGCGGCTGAATATCAGAACCAAGCTGGTTTGGGGTTGGTTTGTGCTATGAAGCAAGTGCCTGGCACTCCAGGAAGCCGCTCTCCATGTCCTGCCCTGCTCAGGTTTTCCCTGTGTCCCAGATATTCCTGTCATGTAAACCTGAGACAGGCACCGCTCACCCACCCCCGTTCCGTGTGCGTGGAACGCATCCCATGTGCACACTCAAGCACAGTTATTTTCCCACCTCCCGGATGGATGTAGCTCTCCAAGCAGCAATATGTTTTCCACCATGGCTCCGAGCAAAATGCTTTGCTCCTGGGTTGACCTCTATTGTGTTCATAAACGGCTTGCGGTGCTTTTTGATTCCCCCATCATAATGACTTGACCTCTGGATTGACGGCTGAGGCTCCTTTCATCTCCACATTGTTTCCCACCAGCCTCCAGCCTTTTCTGTAGCAAACCTGCCTGGAGCCGAGCCCCATTCCGCTCACTTCCATGGCTCCACAGTGGGCAGATGGGGTTTTTCCTCTTTCCAGTGGCAGCATTCAAACAGGGCAGCGTCTGCTCCTGAAGGCTGGGATGTGACAGCTCTTGTCACAGTGCAAACACTCTGTCTTCTTCTCTCTCCCCACATTCACAGTCCCCTGGCTTGAAGGTCCCTTCAATCCAAAAGCCACTCTGTGCTTCTATGATCCTATGGAATAACCCAGGCTATCCCGATGCAGGCACTGCAGCAGGATGGGCAGCTTCCACCAAACACCCCGCAAGCATCAGCTTGGGTTTGAGTGCTGTGTCTGCACAGGCAGGGCTATTTCTGCATCCCAGGTGGTTCCCGAGAGAAGAGAACAAGACAAAGCCTCCTTCCTCCCTCCCGCGGGCAGGATGCTCTTCCAGCTGCTCCATGTTCCCGCGCTGACTCCCTGCATGGAGAAGTATCTCAGGCAGCCTCATAATGCCTTCAGCCCATGGCTGGGCTCTATCCTCCCTGTGCATCTGCTTCCCCACAGCTCAGAACACAACCGCTGCCCCAGAACACCAGCTTTGTCAGGCTGTTGGTACTCAGAGGACAAAGAACAGGCAGCTTCAGGCAGCTCCAGGTGGGCACGGGCATCTCAATGGTGATTAGGAAAGATGCTGACCTGGTTCTGATCCTGGTTTTGCACATCAGCACAGCCTGCGGGACTCGGGGTTTGCAGCCCCAGGGCTGTCCTTGGCGAGGACCTTGGGATTTATCTGTAGGCCAAAAGGAAGGTGGTGAAACACAAACTGTAGTGCTCTAATGTAGCTTTAGCTTTGCACTGTAACGCGTGGTGACCAATGGGGAACACACGAGCCTAAGGATGGATGAATCACTGCTCTGGAGTTACTGCAAGTGTAAAGATCCGGATCAGGCTGGAGTTTGTTTTATGGCAGCAGAAGTCCAGGGAGAATGAGATGTCTACAGAGGTATCAGCTCTGCAGGAGCAGGCCTGGACTGGACCCCAGCGCTCAGATTGCTCCTAAGTGTGGCTCAGCCCCATCCCTATGCAAAAGCCCCATCCCTATGCAAAAGCGCATCAACCACAAGCACAAGCAGGCGGGGACAGGCTGAGGGAGCCAGGACCCAACAGAGCCCTGCTTCAACTCAAAGGGTTTGCTCTGGGGCTTTGCTCCATCCACTAAATCTGCCTAATTCCCCCCATAATAAACCCTCATTGAGCCCTGCTGAAGCTTGCAGCACCAAGCAGAGGGGAAGCACAGAACCATCCCTGCAGCATCTCCTTGGTGCTGCCGAACGAGGAGCAAAGCATTAAACCTCTTTTTATTGTCCTTTCCTTTCATCCTTCTGTCTGGATTTCATCACGGAGGGACCTACCCAGACGTGTTCCTCAGGAGTCTCCCAGCCCCAGTAGCCATAGAAACCAGCTATTTTTAGCCTGTTTTCATGATGCCAGTAAATGACTTTCCTCTACTTTGGGCAGAGAGAAGACCCCGTCAGGCTCCTATGGTAAATGAGCATCTCCAGCAAGGCGGGCGTCCTCTCCCATGCACAGACACTGAATGTGACAGCTGTAAATAAGCACCTCTATCTACGCACAGGGTGTTGATTCCTCCAGCATTTCCCATGCCAGAGCAGGTATCCATAAGGATTTTTAGAGCATGGATTTTACAGACGTTTGGAGATCAGGTTTTATTAGGTAAATGACGAGCTTCCTCCTTTCCTTCTTCAAGAGAACCCCTAATCCAATTACCCATGGTTGGCAACGGGGTCAATGAGGGTAAGAGCAATACTAGGGGCATAACTCAGCCCCACAGCAATGCTTTTACTCTGGGGTAGCTGCAAAACTCGCAGCCAAAGGTGGAAAAGCTCATTTGCCTGGGGAACTATTCGGTACACACTGATGAGCAAGCCGGGTAACGCAGCAAGAGGGGAACCGGGGCAGAGCAGCATTGCCCTGGAGTGCTCTCTCAAGCCATCGTCTTCCGGGATGTTCCCCTTCCCAAAGCCCATGGGGACATTTCTGCTGCCCTCCTCGGGGGTATCAATGCCGGGGCTGCAGGAGCATCCCTGTACCCTCTGGGACCAGCAATCCAGCAGAGGTGATGGAGACCGTGTCCTTTGGTGCCTGCCGGGTACCCTGGAGCCGTAAACACCCTGATCCGATGGCTTCTGCCGGCACGGGCCTCGTTTACAAGGTTGTCCTATAAATTATAGATGCAAATCACGGCTGCGGTTTGCACCCAGAGACTCGCCTATTGATCTGTCTGCTGCTGGCTGCGGTTGGGGCCACGGCAGCCCGGCGCATGGCAGCAGCGGGCTGTAGGGGGTCACTTGTGCATCTGTGCATCTGCACTCGGACCAAGCACGGTGGTTCCCTGTCCGAGCACGCAGGGAAGCAGCTATGGAGCTGTTGCAATAAACCGGCTCGATGATGCCCCTCAGAGACATGGACTTGGTTTCTTGTGTGCTGCTTGCGGTCCTGAGCCGGGGTGGGAGCAGGATGGGAGGGAGGCGGGACTGGGGACGCTGTGGCCGGAGACGGGCAGGTCCCATCACTTCCCAAGCCTGTGTGTTCCCACCGAGCCCTGCTGCAGGGTCACCCCAGAGCGGGTGCCGAGCAGGAGCTGCAGCACAGCCCAGTGAGGGGTACGGGAGCGGCGCCAGGTCCCGCGGCTACAAACAAAGGCGGCTTCCACGGAGGCAGCCGGAATTGTGCGCACATCAACAGAGCCGCACCGGCACAGGCAGCACAAAGCACCTGAGCCCTTCCCACCGGGCCCTGGCCCCAGCTCAGCGCACGGAACGCGGCTGCCGCTCCCGGGGCCTGGCCCTTTAAATCCGGGCAGAGCAGAGCGGGCGGGCGGGGGAGGTCCCACCCCCGGGGCGGGGGGGGGGGGCGGGTGAGCCCCTCCCAGCACTATGGTACAGCCCACAGGGGCGTGGCTGACCGGGGGGGCGTGACTGCCCAGGGGGGCGTGGCTGCCCCAGGGGGCGGGTTCAAAGCGGGGCCCGGTTCGCTCCGCCGGACCGGAACCGGGACCGGGACCGGGCAGCCCCGTCAGTGCGCGCATGCGCGGAGCGCTCCGCCGGCTCTTGTGGGCACACGGAAGCTGCGGCTGCCGAGACCTCGTGGCGCAACGGTAGCGCGTCTGACTCCAGATCAGAAGGCTGCGTGTTCGAATCACGTCGGGGTCACCGCTCCCTTCGGGGTTCCCTTTTTCGTGGCGTGCGGGTACAGAGAGCCGGGGCTGGCCGCGGGGAGCTGCGGGGATGGGGTGGGCTCTCCTCGGCTGTTAATTCTTGCTGTGGGTGACATGCGATGCCTCAGTGGTCCCCCCGGGTGCTGCAAACGAAGGGGCTTGTGGACCTGGGGCACGGTCGTGCTTCACCCCACATAAACGAAGCAGCTTCTCACCTAATCGGAGGTGTCCCTGCCCGTGGCACGGGTTGGAACTGGATCAGCTTTAAGGTCCCTTCCAGCACAAACCATTCCATGGTTCTGGAAGGTTTGGAAGTGCCAAATCGCAGGATTTGGGTTCCCTCCGTGCCTCCCTGCACCAGCAACCCTCAATGGGCTGATCATAGACAGCTGTGACCTCAAAGCGCTGGGGAATAGGGTGGTGGTTGGTCCTGGGTATGCTGGCGAGCCGTGTGGTGGGAGCGATGGCATCAGCCGGGATCCCAGTGATGTAAGTAATGCTTTAGGAATGTTCTTGTCTTCAGGCACTTGTGCAGGCTCAGAGGGAACTTTGGCAACAAGGCTGGGGAGGATGAACCTCATGGAGCCACCAGGAGCTGGAGCTTGTGCTGACGCTCATCTCCTGTGGTGCTGTGGGAAGTAAGTGGTGCCTTTCTTCTTGCTAAGCTATTACTTGGAATGAAGCACAACACACAGCGCTCCACACAGAGCTCTTCTCCTGCCTTTATAGCAGCAGAAGCAGCTCTAGCTTTGACTCAGGCGTGCACTTAAAGCTATTTTGGAAGGAAGGATGAGGCCAAGTCTAACCTGGGGGATGGAGAAAGCTGTGCTCAACTCCAGCTGCTTTAACCTGTTCAGCAGCTGATGGGCTGTGTACACCTGAGCTCCTGCTGTCCTGATCTCTTTCCATTAAATGCCTTTTGTCTTGACTAGCTTCTCTTTTGAACCTCATTGCTTCTTAACAGCACGTAGGAATGATGCCTTGAGCTTCTGCTGCCACAAAGATTGCCTTTGTGTTTGAAAATAGGCTAAAAGAAAGAGGAATTGAATCCCTGCCCTGCTTTCACTGCTCCAACTCTAATTAAGGCTGGGAAAAAACAACCTCCTATCTGGAAGCAGAGATCCTGAGCACTGAGCTCCATGGCATGGGCAGTACCAAAGCCAGTTGTAAGGTGACAGCAGGATGTGTCCAAACCTCCCTCTGGAAGCCTGAATAAATACTTCCCATGTGTTTGCTATGTGGTGTGCAGTTGGGTTGGCGTTTAATTGTGCTGTGGGGAGGGATGGGGTGGCTTAATGCAAGTGACTGGAGCCCTTGGAAGGATAACACTGGAACCTGAGCATCTTCTCTAATCTCGGTCTGCTGCTGTTAAACAGTTGAACCATTATTATCATCATTAGCATTATTATGATTTAAAAGAAGCCCTCCAAGGTGCTGTTCTCTTCCCTGGCAGGCTCTGGCAAAGCCCCATTAGTCACTTCTCTCTGATGATGCATCAACTTGGGCTTGTCCCAGCAATGCTTGCTGCTGTCTTTCTAATTCTGCTCCCATAAAAGGTGAGAATTGGGTTTTTCTTGGATAAACTTCTTTAAATAATAGATCTCATTTTTCTATTTCAGCTCCTGGGACACTTCCAACTTTTTCTCTTCCAGAAGGGTTTTTCTACATCAAAGTGAAATTCCTTTCCAGTTGACTTCACCACTGAAGTTACATCAGAGTAGCTGCTAACACCCAACACTGGGTAAGGCTCAACTATTGTGTTAGAGAACACCAGGGGGGAAGTCAAAGGTTCTCTTATGTGATCTTTGTTCCTTTACTCTCGGTGAACATGGACTCCTCTTTCCAAACCCCCTTTCGCCTGTAGATGTTTGTCTATCGCTATAGATGTTTATCTATAGCAATGGGTTTTGTGGGCTGTGAGATGGGTACCTGTCACTTGCCACACAGGAATAGAAAGGCTACGGGAATGTCGCTGAGGTCACCTCATTTTATCCTTCCCCCATTGCTTTAGTGCAGAGAGGGAAGAGCATTGCTCCAGCAACCAACCCAGAGAGACATTAAAGAGCAGATCTGAAGCCTCCGTCCTGTTGAGGGGAGAAAGGGGGAGCAGCTCGAGGCAGTTTTGCCCTTTAGAACAAACAGCTCTGATCTCTGGTGTTGATTTCTTCCCCCTCATGGGGCTGGCAAATGTGATAATCAAAATCAGGTCACCAGAGACCAAGGCATGGAGGAGCAGCTGCTGCGTGCGGCCGTGCACGGGGTTTCTGTGCTAGCAATGATTCATTTGGTCTGGGTCATATGCATGGAAATGTGCTGCAGGAGCATCACTGGAACCCACCATTGTGTTCCTGGAGCCCTGACAATGCTGCTCCTTGATCTGTGGGCTTGACGTGGCTTTTCCCTTCTCGCTATGGCAAACAAACACGGGCAATCTACCTTTTCAGGCGGGCAGCATTACTTCACTGTGCTCCGTCTGTGTGTGTGCTGCTCTCAGACTGGCAGAGCAATACCTTCAGCACGGAAAGCATCGACTAAGTGAAGGCTACAGCAGGGAGTTGTATGGGAAGCAAGCAAAACCCTGCTGCAGCAGCACTGTGGCTGAACAGATAAAGGCAGAATGGAGAGGGTGAAGTGGGGGGACCGTTGTGGGGGTCACCTAACCTGAAGAATCAGAGCTGAAAGGGGTTTGTACTCGAGTAGGATGTTGGGGTTTAATCTCCAAAGGCCTTTTGGGGAGTTCCTTCCACTCAAAAGCTGCTTTGCCCCCACCTTCTCTTTCTTGTGATGTCCTTTGAAGTTCCCTTCAAAGATGAAGCCAAACTTCCCGTTTCTGCTGGAGCCTGTAATGAGGATCCAGCTTTGTCTCAGCAATTACTCGAACGGGGTGAGTTTTGTTGCTGCTTTAAAAGGGAGAAGTTTCAGACTCCTGAAGGGTTTGGGCACGTTGTGAACCCCCCTGAGCCACCAGCTGTGCATGGGGCTAATCTGAGCGTGCAGCAGCTGTCATCACAAAGGCAGAGCTGGTTCAAGCACAGCTGCTTTGTGCAGGGATTGGGAATGAGTTAAAGGAAAAGGTGCTTTGCTGCTTGGGCTGCGTTGAGCTGTGGGGCTGGATCCGTGGCTGTTCGCTGGGGTTTGGTGGGTGACCCCAACACGAGTGGGATCTTCAGGCTCCAGTGTGGCTGCTCACCGCTGGCTTTGTCTGCAGCCCCTCTGTGATCCTGCAGCCCTGCTCTGTAGGCGCCTGCCTGGATGCTGCTTGGTTGATGGCGAACCAGCACCCTGACAAAGCACGTCTGTGGCCACCGAGTGCTCCAGTGGCTGCGCGAGGAGCTCTGTGTCACTGATAAACTGTAGCCGTATCACGAATCCCATCCTGCAGCCTGGTGTAGGAGTTTCGGGTGAATTCACTCGTGTTTTAAGGAATGTTTTTTTCCCTTTCTCCTCACTCAGAGCTCCAGGAGTAACCTTTGGAACAAAAGACTTCAAAGTGACAGCAGCCGGAGCCTCTGGCGATAGTGAAGTAATCTGCTAACGCATGAATATTTGATGTCTCTACAGCTAACTGAAGGAAATTGAGTTGATATCAACTGATGTGCTTTGTATGAGCTCCTGACAAATGCAGCAATTACCTCTAATCAGTTAATTACAGCATCCTTCTGTGACCTGCCTTCCAGTTGCTTGAGCTCTCTTTTGGAAGGGGAGTGAGAAGCTGTTCCACTCAGAGCTCTTCTCTGGCTGCTTCAGTGAGGAAGTGCTTCCTTGTTATGCTATCAGAAAACACATTGCCCTTTAATGCCACAGTGAAAGTCATTGGTGTGCCCTCAGTCCATCTGGCTCCTCTCTTTTGTTGCCTTCACAACTGCAAATGCCTGAGCATCAAATGAAGCTTCTGTTGCCTGATTCAGGTTAATCAAGAGAATAGCAAGGAGGAAATGGAAGTATCTGTACTTGTTCCACATTCATTTTGTCATCTTTGCAGCCGGCTATCCCTAGTGAAGTGAACTCGTGGGGCTTCCAGCACTGTTCCTGTCTCTGCATTCTGCCTTTCTAGCAATGACTATTAAAGGCAGCCAGGTTAATTTGTGGCAACAGAACTTGTACTCCATCTCTTAAGCTGATGTAGTAGCTTTCAGTGCATTCATGAGGATGACTGTGAAATAGTAGCTAACAAATGAAAATCGGTGCCACTTCATGATGGGCCATCTCTCATCAGGGTTTTAAATAGAAAATTAGATAAAGGATTGATAAAGAATAGAGGACACATCAGATGACTGAGTGATAAAGCACTAACTAGAGGATTGCTTTACTCCCCACTTCCGGAATGTGAATTGTATGAGGCTGTCGGTTCCATACCTTTAAATCAGCTTCGCATTGTTCCTGTGTGTGTGGACCCCTCACAGGGGAAGTGTCTTGGTTAAATGTCTGAATAACGAGGACCTGGGCTGCGTCCTGTGGCATTGAGGCCTTTGGTTTCATTCCCTGCCCACAGCCTGCACTAATGGCTCTGTCCTGAAACATTAACAGGTAGCAGGGACACTGCCGGGGATGAGCTGCTGAGGGACCAGCTGGCAGCAGAGCCCACGGCACTCCCAAGGCTTTCCGTAGGATAACGGTACCATGACATTAACTTACTGCAGGCACCTCCCTGCACTCCTCTGGGGACAAAACCCCTCCAAGGCACAACCCTCAGACTGCTGCCCCATCCAAAGGAGGCCATGAGTTATGGCATCTCATTTGACTTGCTAATACGGCAGTACGGAAGCACTGACCTTGGTCTCTTGGTCTTGAGCTTAGAAATCTTCCATCTTATCTGTGTTTATCTAACATGCACTTCAGTGTGCTGCCCAGTCAACCCTGAGCAAAGGAGCTTGCTCATTCCAGAGGAATTCTGGCAGGGTTCCCTCAAGGCATTCCACTTCCTTCTCAGCATGGCTCTAGCCTGGAGGTGGGGACCATAAAGGAGGTGGGGACCGTAAAGGAGGTGGTGCTCTCTTTTGAAGAGAATGATTTGGGAGAACTTTTTGATGTAGTTGTGGGATAAATTCCACTTAACATCTAAAATTCAGCCAGGGATCATCTCGAAACAGGCAATTCCGAGCGGATCTTTTAGCCCAAGCACTTACCTGTGTGATGTGCAATGTAAGCTGTTGAAAAGTCTAGCATTTAGTCTTCAGCCCTGGAAATGGGCCTTGTTGCACGATGCTATATCTTTGCAGGGTATGGCCATCAGCCTCTTTGGCACAAGATTCCTGCCTCTTGGTGGCACCCAGCACAAAGGGACTCCAGTGTTGAGTGAGGCCTTGGAGCTTGTACCAGGGATGTTGATTATAAAACTCTTTTCCTCACATGCAGATGTTTGAGCTGCTGTGATTAGATGATGTATCCAGAGGCAAATTACTGTTTATTGTGCATTACTCACTGACCTATGCACTACATGAGTTTAAAGTGGTATTTCTTTTTCCAGCAGGATGAGAAAATGATGGACAAGAGCACAGTGATCTGACAATAGCAACTGGTGTTCCAGAGGGATCCATGTTAGCAGAGTAGACTGCAGGTAAGCAGCCTTTATTTTAACCTCATCTCTTGGGGATTTTAAGTACTTCCCAAAGGAGATGTGGACTCGGGGTTTTCCAGATACCTGCAGAAGAGCGATCGCTCTGGGTACCAGCAGAGGAGCCCCTTGACCTGGCTGCTGTTCTGCACTGCCTTTCCTCTTGCTGCCTGAGCTGTCTCACTTCTCTTTGCCTCCAGCTCCTTACCCTGCTTTGTGAAGTTCCCTTGCGGGTGTGGGTAGGATTAATGACAAGCTGACCTCCCTCAGCTGAGCACCGACCCCGGTGCCTCGGGTGCAGGAGGGCTCCCAGCACCATCCTGGTGTCCCTGAGGAGCTGCCTCCTGTGCCCTAATTTTATGCACTGGAGCCTTCTCCACAGAGTCCTGTCAGCAGGGATCTGTGCTTGGCAGAAACAGCTGTGGGAGAGTAATGGCAGCAAAATGGGTGCTAAATAGGGAGTAGAAGAAGTGCTGGAGCAGTGAGGTCACTTAGAATCGACTTCCCTCTGTTCCCAGAGACAGCCCAGGATGGGCAGCAGCTGGGCTGGAGATGGCTGGAGAGTGGAAGCTACAGAAGACAAGACATGGGTGAGACATCCTCTTCCTTCTGCACCTGCCTTGTTCTTCCTAGGGATGGTTTTGCTGCGTCAGGATCTACTCATCACTTGGCTCTTCTGGCCTTTAGCTCCATCCAACCACGCTTAAGATCTTGCAGGTGCAGAAGCAATTTTGCAGCCAATCTATAAGGACTGAAGGGAATGTATAAAGAAGGTGGCCAGAGGTGCCTGCAGGCTGTCACGGTCCAGCCAAGCTGGAAATGAATTGCTGTGGATGGACACATGGAGGGGTTCTGATGGCTTGTCACAGAGGACTAGAAGCCAAGAACAGATCTTAATCCAGGGAGAATTGGGCAAAAGGCCGTTGTGAACAGATTAATGTTTGCCCATGAACTTAGCTTTGGGGATCAGCAAAACAAAGGTGAAAATGCTGAGGAATGGACCCGTTTCACTGCGGCAGCCTGTGAAACAAAGCATCTGACTTGTGAAACGGTTCACTTTCAAAGTGGTCCTTGTAAAGCACGGGATGCTCCAACACCCCACCCCAAAGGGAAGAACCCCGGGGTCTGCTGTTCAAGGGAACGGTTTCGGACAGGCCAAGAGTTAATTGAGCACAATCTCATTATTGCTTACATAGAAAACCCACAAAGCTGCGCTGAGGTGTTTTACCCAACGCCCCTTTCAAACCCTTTCTCCCCACAGGCTGCCCTTGGCTCTTATCCCTGCCTGCCTCAGGAATGATCAACCCTCGCCTCCTTTGAAGACCAGAGAACAAAACTGCGCCATTCCAGGTCCCTGCTCCTGCATCAGCTCCTCCTCAGGGCTGGACACAGTCTGTGGAGAGCCCAGAGCACTGTGGGCCCTGCACCGGAATGTGTTCACTCCTGCTGGATGGGTCGGGAGGAGGATGCGATCTTCCATGGTAACAGACCCTCTGTGAGCACTGAAGTGATGCAGCCTGGGGTACCCGCAGACCTCTGCCTTGTCTCCATGCTGTGGTAACCCTGCACGGCCCTGAGCTGTTCCCAGCCCTGCTGTGTCGTGCATGAACCCTCTTCCTGGGAACAAACAGCTCTTTGTGTATAACCATGGACTTGTGTTTTGCTGCTCTAGAAGCCTGCGAAGCCAGATGCATCCATCCCCTCCCTGCCACACAGCCCAAGGCTCTTCATGCTGCTGCTGCCGTTCTGCTCGCTGTAGCTGATTGAGTGTTACTGTGCATGAGGGGGGCTTGCCTTTTGGTTGGGTTTTCGTATTCCCCAGCAACCGTCTCTTCAAAGTGCCCCTGTGTCCTGAGCTGACGTCTCTCTGTGCCTGGCAAGTGGGCAGACACAGCTGGTGCACTTCTCCCCCTGGGTTAAACGCTGCCCCAGAGCTCCCGAAGCTCTTGGTTCCTGTCTGCACGCATTACGGTCTCTGTCTGTGCTGTAACCAGCTCAGGGCCCTGCAGGAGGGAGAATTAATGAATTAACTACTTAATGAACTGTCAGATTGCCGCATCTCTGCGAGGGATGACAGGGGAGAGGCCCGAGGGCTGGCTCTGGTTCCCCTGCATTGCTCTCTTCCATCACCAGCAGTGCCAGGGATGCTGTGTGCTTGGCCCCCTCTTGGAACAGAAATGCATGGGCAGGTCTTGGTCCTCTTGCAGGGTTTTCCTCCCTTTATCTACCTGATCCTGATCTCTTCTAAAGGAAAAGCCTTTTACTTAAAAGCTTGTGTGCTTTTTAATCCTTTCTCCCTATTTTCTTAGCTCCTGGTCTGCTCAGTGCAATTCCACGTGCCTTTCCCATGCACTTGGCTGAGTGCTCATTGGATCGAGTTGGCTCAACCTGAAGGGATGCAGGTAAGGAGGGAAATGAATTCCCAGAATCACACAGAGCGGTTGGGACTGGAAGGGATGTCTGTGGAGCATCCAGTCCAACCCCCTGCTAAAGCAGGTTCAATGTCTCCAGAGCATCCCCCCATCCCTGGGCAGCCTGTTCCAGTGCTCTGCCACCCTTAAAGAAGCTCTTCCCCATACTCGGATGGAACTTGCTGTGTTTCAGTCTGTGCTCCTTGGCCCTGACCCTGCTGCTGGAAGATGTTTATTCCCCACGTTTGGCTTGTGGCATTTGCAGGAATTCCTGCACCTCTCCTGCTGTTCCCATGGAAACAGATGTGGAATTGCAGGAAGCTGCTCCAGGTTTCCAGCACTATTACGTTATTCTTTGTGCCATCTTTGTAATTTCCAAGCAGGTTGGAAAAGTTCTTCCTTTAGAGCACAAATCCGTGTCCCTCAACCTTCCTTCTCTTCCAAGGTATTCCGGTCCTGTGCAATTCCCATTGCTCAAACAGCATCTGCTGAGCGAAGCCAGCGCTGCCTTTGTTTGGGTCTCTATAGGGCTCTGCACAAGCTCCCTCCTTCCCAGTTGCTTTCCAGCCTGTCAGGTCTGACTCATGCACTGCTCGGGCAGTGGCTGGGGCTCCATGGCCGAGCTGCTGTCCCTGTCTCACTGCTGTTGTCCCATTTAAACTGGCCCTTTTCGCCTTCATCTTCCATTTCTCCTGTCTCCTGCAGGTGTTGACGTGGTGCAGACTGCTCCTCGTGGGAAGGTGAAGCTGCCTGTGCTGAGCTAAGAAGTGATGCAGGGGGGTTTGGAGGTACCTTGGTTGGTTTTCAATGGGTGAATTAAACACTTATGAAAATGAAAGGGTATTTAATAAGTTATTAACATCCAATGTGTAGGACTGTGAGGATGAGGGGTATCGAGGCTTCTGCTTCCTCTTTACCCATAAAGGTCACCCAAGTACCAGACAGTGTTGAAGCTGGTCCAGTGTGAGGTGTCCCTGCCCATGGCAGGGGGTTGGAACTGCATGAGCTGTAAGGTCCTTTCCAACCCAAACCATTCCATGGTGCCCATCACGGGAGCTCCTTGGTTTGATGTGGGGATGGAGAGGAGCTGCCAACCCTGTCCTGCAGCCGCCCGTTTCCTTCCCCAGGAACCCTACCCCTGCAGCCAGGAGGTTTGAGAACCTCCTGTGCTTTACCCTGGTTGTAAGCAGGGAGCTCATTGGAAGCCTTTGTTCAGGTCTGTGACCACTGTGGTAAATAACAACAGCTTCCCAATGCCAAGTGTCTGCTAACGCCCCGGTGCTCACAGCCCCCTGTTGGAATCCAGCTTGATGGGGTCTTTTCGAAGCTCTTAAGTGAATGCCTTTGTAATGAACATCTTCGGGTTGGATTGCCCCCCTGCTTGAGGTTTTTATTTAAATGCAAATTGAATCCTCCCACTGGAAAGCTAACAGAGATTTAAATAGCAGCCAGGGGATGAGAATGTGCTTTATGGGGAGTCATTTGATTCCACTTCTTGTTGATTTCCTCATCTTTCTTCCTTTACGGCCAGAGCTGCTTTCAAATAGTTCCCTATCTCGACTATGAGCCATGGGGAGGGGTCAACCCAGTCTGCATCAGTACAGGGCTGAGCTTGGGGTCAGCACCGAGGGGCTCTTTGTCAGGGCTCAACCTGGAAACTCCTCTGAGCACCTCTGGAGCCTGTCCCTGGCTCAGGGAAGGGGACCAGGACGTGGAAATGGGAGTCTGGAAGATGCAGGTTCAGGGGCTGTTGGGCTCTCAAGCCCTCGATGCTGCTGCGTGGGTACCAGCCGTGCCCCGAGCTGGGGGGTCTGGGCCGGTGGGAAGAGCTGAGCACAACGCTGAAAGGAGCAGGGATCCCCGAGGGTGTTGAGGACTCCCAGAGCTCAGGCACTTCCTGAAGGACTGGGGATGTCTGCTGGGCTCCACTGCAAGCGCGTCTCTGGGGAGGTGCTGTGAAGCTCGGTGGACGCTGCGTTGAGAGGATCGTTCTCGTTTGGCTGTGGCTTAGAAGTGTTTTGTTCTGCAAAGTTACTCTGCAGCGCTTCGAGGGGCAGCAGGGCAGGGCAGGGGAAGCCTGGGATGACTCTTAGGCTGGGAGCGGGGATCCAAAGGGTCCTACATCCGTGCAGCGTGGGGTCCCCCAGCTCCCAGCCACCACTGGGACAGACCCAGGGCTGCTCTTGGAGGCAGCTCCTGCTGTTCTTGCTCCCCTCCCTTCGCCCATCTCCGTCCTTTGCCTCGGAGCTGTGTGCTCGCAGGCAGGGAGGGCGGGCTGAGGGAGAGCTGCTGTTACAGAACATCCTGTGCGAACACAGGGAGCCATAAAAGGCTTAAACTATGGGGCTGGTGATGCAGCGGGTACACAGAGGCACGCACAGCCCGGCTGCAGCGCCGAGCAGGAGAGCAGATGGGGAAACGCGCTCCCCGTTCATTGTCCTACATCTCGGGAGGGTGAGGATCAGAGCTGCTGGATTGATGCTGATTCCATTCTTCCCTTGCATCCCTCCCACACAGCAATCCCAGCCCCAGCTGCTCCCCATGCTGCTCGCATCCCTGCCACCGGTGCGGGAAGGGAGGAGGAGGATGCTCCACAGGCACTGAGGATTCGGGCATTGATAGAGCATCTCTAAGCAGAGCCATGCTCCACCTCGACCCAGCGCTGTGAGTACATCCCTGTGCTTCCCAAGCTCTCCTGGCAGGAGGGAGGGAGTTTCTGCTGGAGGTCAGTGGGTGATGGGGAAGGGAGTGGGATGCTTTAAAGCAGGAGCTGCTTTCTCCCACTGTCAGGCCAGGCTTTTAATAAACCACCAGAAACAAAGCTTTGAGACTGTGCTAAAAGTGGGTTAAGGAGGGGGCTCTCCTCCCAGCCCCATAGTCCCAAATCCCACATTTTCAGCCCTTCTCCCAGGCCAGGCCCTGTCTCAGCAGCGATGGTGTTTGCCTTGAGCTGCCCCCAGCTGAGGTCTGACCCAAGCTCTTTCCGTCCCCTGCGGAGGGATGCAGCCTAAGTACAGAGTAATAGGAGCTTTATGAACGTCACCAGTGAGGCTGCAGGGCTTGAAAAGCACCTTCTGCATTTGACCCGTGCCAAAGAGAAGCTGCTTGTGGGGAGAGCGGAGGCAGCAGCTGGGGCAAGGGGAGGAGATGCAGGATGCTGCTGGGAGCTGGACCAGGGACGGGGCATCCTTGATCTCGCAGGTGAGTTATCTTTCCTCGATGGAATTATAGCTCTCTCCCTGGAGACAAACTGGGATGTGCATCTTGTTCTGCTGGTTCTTCAGCCCATCCAGGAGGAAGGATGGGCTGGGATCTTCCTTGTGCTCATGGGCACCAACAGATTAAGCAGCTTTTCTTGCTGTCCTGGAGCCTGCTAAAGCTCCTGGCACCCTCCTGATGCACAGCTGCTGTGGAATATTTCCTTCCACAGCCTCTCTGCCTTCCTCCCGTTAGCAACCACTGGGAATTGCATCTGGCATGGAAATGATCCCAAGGGACTGGTGCTGGGGGGGCAGAAGTGAAGCTGGAAGGGGGGGGTCAGCTCGGTCACAGCCTCTTCACCTTCAAACTGCACCTCCTTATGTCTGCAAAGGGAGATGCTGGGGAACAGGAGTGGAACGAGCTGCCTGTGAGCTGCTGCTTCTCCTTTGCTTGCCACGATGAATTCATGCTTTTGCTCTTCCCTTCTGCCTCTCTTCTTGCCAAGTGGGTATTTGCAGAGGAACCAGTGGATTTTGTTGTTGTTGTTCCGGGGAGCTGTTACTATGGCAAGGAAACTCGATTCCATGCGAGGGGAGGTCGGAAATGCCGGGCTCAACGTTTCGTGCCTGCTCTGTTTAAAGCCTCAGCTGCCGGGGTGTGAGCAGGGAGCAGCAAAAGGAGCCCCTGCCTCTCAGAGGGTTTCTTTAAAGCCTTTTCTGCTTAAAAGTTGGAGGCTTTTGGCAATCCAGCTGTGGTGCTGCAGATGTGGAATGGCGAAGCCTGCAGAAAGGGTGTCTGTGGCTTGGTGGGGAGGGATTTAGGGGTCTCTTCTGGGTGCTGAGCAGGGAGAAACGTGGACTTGGAGCGTCCTGGAAGCTCTGCTCTCCCCAGTGTCCTGTTTGGCTGTGTCCTTGCTGAGATGAGCGTTTCTTTATAGCAGGGGTTGGTACCTGAGCCCTCGGGGCCTCTTCACACCGTGCTGGTGTTTATCCTGCACTGCCAAGGTGACATTTGTGTGCTTGTAGGAGGGAAAGCAGCTCACTTCAGCCGCAGTGATTAATGGGGAGGCTTAGGGGCTGCTCCCACACTGGAAGCTGTGTTAGCCGAGGTGCACCGTGTCCTACCAGCTTCCAGTGAAGGTGAAGGCAGCACAAAGAGCATTATCCCCATTTCCCATCCTTTCTCATCACTTGTCCCTTATGTTTGGGTGAAATCCCTGCTTTAAGCCAATATGGCGTGTGCCACCCAGGCAGGACCAAGGTCCCTGCCCACGCAAGGTGTGTTGAGGCTGTGTGGCGGCATCCCATCCCTGGCACCTCTCAGCACCTCCGTCTCTGCCCCTTGAAGCAAGTGATGAGCATTAAGTGGTCTGGGGCCACACTGGGAGCGGAAGAGCTGAGCCACAGGGATTGATGGTCCTTTCCCTTCTCCGGATTGGGTTGGACTCTGTGCCTGGAAGTCAGGAAAGCACCGGAGTGCTGCTGAGACCTGGAATTGTACTGGGAAGAGAACCAGGAGCAGGCAGGGGGGAGCTGGGCTGTGCCTCACACCCCTCCTTGGCTCCTGGGGATCTCTTTGTGTCCCTACTCCTGGCCTTGTACCGTGGATGCTCCTCGGGACAGGCACAGGTCCCCTGCACCGAGCCTCTTTCCAGCTGCCTTTGTGCTGTGTCATCTCTCCCTGCCCTTTACTTGACGGAGTGCAGGCAGGCAGGGCAGAGCTGAACCGAAGCTGCTGGTTCCTGCCGGCGCCGAGGAGCGGGAGCTGTGATTTCATCTCGGGGTTTGTGTGCTATTTCCAGCACATTGTCCCTGTTCCTGCCTCTCCTGTGACGCCGGGAGCACTGGGAACCGCTGCGGCTGCCGGTGCTGCCTGGGTGGCAGCCAGCCCTGCAGCCCCTGTGCTCCTGCAGCCCCTGTGCTCCTGCAGCCCCTGCAGCCCCTGTACTCACACGTTCAGGTGAGTACAAGAGCTCTGCCTTGGAAGGCAGCGGTTTCGTTAGCAGGTTGGCGTCTGGGTCTGCTTTAACCTCCTCCTGGTGACAGCGAGGAGCGTGGGGACGCTTGGCAGAGGATGGGAGCAGTGGTGCCTGGAGCACAGCGCCTGAGGGGGATGTGATGGGTGCCCTGGGTCTGACCCAGGGATGGAAACCTGGACTCGGGCTGCTCGAGAGAGCAAAGCTGAGGGTGAGCTCTTGTGGCCCAGCTGAACTTGGGATGAGATGCCAGGACAAAGTGCTGTGGTCTCCTGGATCCTCGGGGTGGCCCTGATGTGGCCACTGCCTGAGTGAGGGTTTGAGGTGGTTCTGTGAGTGATGGAGGCTCTTCAGAGCAAGTGGGACAGCATCAGTTTGTGTTGGGTTGGATCTGCCTCGGTCTGAGGGAGAATTCAGGGGTCTGTTTCTAGCATGCACAGTTTCATGTGTTGGATAAATTGGCTTGAGGGCCTCCCTGGATGGAGGGTGTATGTGTGAGCGTGGCTGCAGTGTATGGTGATGTCTCAGGGTGGATATCCTCAGTCTGAGCATTAAGCATGGAACATTTGGGAATCTCTCTGGCTTTTCATCTTCTGGGGCCTTTTTGCATTGCCTTCCATCTGGAAAGGTGTCAAC